GTTTGAATTCTTGCAAAAATGTGTAATTTCATCTATTACTATATCCACATCCCAAAATAATCCGTGTACGTATTGAGTGATTTCATGTATTTAATTATTATTAAAATACATGTACAGGTGACCATTGAAAATTCTCAAATGATAAACCCAACTAAGCCTAGTATGATTTGGATAAAATCATATTTAAAATAAATTTTAATAAAAATCGATGAAATATATAGTTGAAAAAGTTGATAAAAATTGTAAGTTTCATAAGACGGACGATTACAAATGCGTTTGAAAAAATAAAATTTAAAAAATTGAGACCAAACAAGGCTAAATTAGATTTATATTTCACAATAAAAAGTTTCTTTCAACTTCAGTCTACATGTATTTATGGGAATGTTATCGTTGAAATAATCTAAAAATACTTACGATAAAATAATCAAAAAAAATTCTCAATTCAAGTGACACTTAAATATATGGATAATTATATTTACGTCACGATTTTTAATAACTACACCATATTTAAATTGCACTCAAGACCTTCAATCTTAGCTCATTATAGTCTTTATGTCTCTAATTTTTTCAATGCAGCTTATAATCAAATTTTCATTTATTAGTACATCTCGTATCAAATAACAATTTTTGTACAAAAAGTCCGTTGGATGCGTAAAATGACTTATTTGTCCATCATATTTTAAAAAATAATAAACTATAAATTTTTTCCCTCATTTCAAAGCATGCAAAAATAAAATTATAATAGAAACCATTATCTAATACGAGTTACGTTCATTAATTGAAGATAAGAATCGGACAAAAAAAAGTTAGAGATATATTTTATAATGAATAAATATTAATGACCTTAAATGGAATTAATATATAATACAACAAATATAATTATAGATATATCTATAATTTTTATAGATATGTCCATTTGAGTGTTTCATATAATCTTAAAAAATTTCCAATTCCCTTTACTAGATATATCAGGATGTATAATGCTATTTTGCATCCACATATATTAAATAGGTCACATAATTATACTTCACATAAATTCGAAGTATAGACATAATCAAATAAGTCACATAATTTTATTTTAATCGATCAAATGTCATCCAAATTCGTATTATGACAATAGTGATACTAAGGGTTTATTTGAATTTCATTTGTCTAGGAGAATATATTTTTTTTTTATATATATATAATATATGTGTGTGTGTATATGTATATTTATATATAGTTCATTGGGAGATCATGTGATTTAAAAATGAGTTTGAAAATAAATGATTTTTTTTTAAATAAACTCAAATTCGAGCTCAAATTTGAGAATGTATTTTTTGAAAATAAAAAAATGGGGCTCAAAAACCCCTTGATATTTAATAATTGAATAGTGTTATTTTTGTACATCGTAATGTATAGATTTATTTATAAAATGAAAAAGAGGTGAAAATCTAATCAATGCTCACCGAACTTTATTATATGTTACAACTTACTCATCGAAATTTAAAAAGTTAATCTTTGTTCACTAAATTTTGTTACAGATTATTACTTGTTCTCCAAAATTTTAAAAGTTTTTTGTTGCTCGATGAACCTTGCTATAAGTTATTACTTGTTTATAAAAAATTAAAATGTTAATTGTTACTCGCTAAACTTTGTTATAAGTTACTAATTATTCATCGAAATTTTAAAGATTACTTGTTGCTCATTCAAATTTGAATAAATTTTGTAACGCCCCAAAATCTATTTCATATAATAGACTTGAAGTATTACCAAAAATCCTCTTTTCCTAATTTAAGCAAAATTTACTTTTATTCGAAATTTGAAATATCTTCGATAAGTCGATAATCATAAACCAATAATTTAAGTGAAAAGTTTTCACATCAAATAAAATCATAAAGTACTACGATTTCAAATCATCAATTCGAATTTAACATAAAAATGTCAAAAGTTCGAACACGAGAAAAATTATTAAATATTGTGTACAAATTTTAACGTACAGATATTCTTCAATAAGATAAAGGAAATATGCAAATTTTCATCTTTAGAAATTGTATTTGATGACCTTATAAGCCTCGCTCGATCAATCTGCCACATCCACACGACTTGTTCTAATATGAAAAGTTATTAAAAGAATGAGTATTTAAAAAAAAAATACTTAGTAAGAAATACGTGCACATCCTTATTAACATAATATAAATATAAAATGACATGATATACCGATATTATTAGATTTAGAGCAAACTAGTCGCGACATCTAATAATTCAAGGAATTTCATAAGAATTCCTACATTTCGTAGGATTTACATATTTAACCAAATGGTCCATCCAGTCGGATTTAACATATTTTATCTAACGGTCCATTCTTAAAATTTTAACATAGAAATCAACTTGAAAACCTTTGAGTATTTCATGTCAAAAAATATAAAAATATCAAGAAAATAAGAATTTATCACATGCACAACGTATTCTTACCTTAATTGATATGAAAAATTCTAAAAATATGAGTTGAGATTGATAGACAAAAATGAACTGTGTATAAGTATGAATATGGAAAAATGACGTGAACACAAATCTTACTCATATAAAAATCTCGCAATAACTTAATCAAATATTTCATATTATATTCTTGGAGTCAAACGTATTTCAGTAAGAATTATAAAGTTAATTAATTTAGCTATTGTTAAAATTAATGGAATAATTATGTTTTATTAACTATAATATATTATACATTTTCAATTTCTCAAAACCAACGTATCTTCCATTTATTTTATTTCATTATTTTATCATTATTTACACTTTAATTTATTAATAAAATATAAAATCTAGAATGCTTTCTTTTTATCAAAATAAATCGGATATGACTAATCCAAAGTTATTTCTTCTTGAGTCAATCTATATTATTTAGCACGAATTACAAAATAAGTATAATATCGATGTATTTTTATTAACTTCTAAAATACTTAAATATTTGAGTCAAATAATTTACGATAAATTTTTAAAAGTACACATAAGCGAATAAATCATTTATGCAAATAAGTGGATCGAATTTTTCACTTCAACTTTTGAACTTTAGTGTGACACAAAGCTAGACATATACTATTTCTTTTGCTAGATGATCATTATTAAATTTAACTCATATAAAAATATAATTAAAATTCGAGTTGATACAAAATTTCCATTTCCATCACTCATGATCGATATTCATCAGTCCATGTAAACAAAAATCAACATGACGAATTAAAAAAACTACATAGCGTGGACAGATTTAAAAAAAATAAAAAATAAAAAAAATCTACACAGCGCATGACAAAATTTGCCTACGTGATTGCCGGTGTTGTCCACTACGATCGCATGGACAATTTTTATTATTGAAATTCACCATTGTTTTCTCCCTTTCTTCTTGTAAATGAAAATAATAACGGTATATTTGAGTAACAAAAATTATCCACGCGATCGTGTTCACAACATCACGCAATCGTATGCAATTTTCATCTTGTATCCCGAGATTTTTTGTCCACGCTATTATTATTAGTATTATTATTATTATTATTATTATTATTATTAACTCCATTAGTGTCACTTAGGACTTCCCATCCCTCCTATTGATCTTTGTCCACATAGATTGATAAAAATGGTATGGGTAAGGCCAAACAAAACTCTTGAACTGAGTCGGACTCAAATTGAACCGAGTGATTCTATTCGATTCTTCTTTAGTTAAATATCAAAACGGGGTATCAGATTTGAGAACTAACAAATTTTGTTTGATTTTCGATTTTAGACCAAGAATTAAACATTCTAACAACAACCGAATCCCTCTAATTCTTTTAGAATTTTTATATTAAATAAGTCAAATTATTTTAATTTTTTTATTATTTATGTTTGTTAGTTGTGCTTTTTTAATTATTTATTGTTTTTTTTTTTTTTTGGGTGATAAGTAAGTCAATTGATGATTAATTTAAATGGTTGGTAAGTACTAGCACTACTTAAAATACTTTATTTCTGTAATTTCTAATTTATCTTTCATTTATGTTTTATATAGATTTAAAGGTTTGAAGCAAATGAATTAAAGAGATAGGAACACCGATGTTTTATAAGAGTTAAGATTAAACATATCATTAGTTGTATTAATAATACTGTTGTAAATTTTTTAAAAAATATTATAGTATGAAATCGAATGAAACCAAATCGAATGGAACCAAACTTGACGGTTCTACATACTAAGGTCCAGTAATGTAAAAATGAGAATGAAAAATATAGTCATTATGGATCTCACACAAGAGATAGAAAGTCAAATATGATGACTTGATGTGATTGATCATATTTTTCATTTTAATGAGCACATAATGAGAAACAAACAAGAGTTAAATATTTGAAGTTTGTAGTTCTCTTTGATTTTCTTTAGAATCGAATCGAAGTAGATCATGCCTAGTAGAATGGATCGAACCAAACTATGTCTAGTCCTAGGTATCGATGATGAATAAGTAACTTTATTTAAATTTGAATGAGCAACAAGTAACATTTTAACTTTAGTTGATCAAATAATAATATATAATAATGTTCAATGATCAACAATTAACTTTTTAAATATTAGTGAGGAAGTAGTAATGGACGGCAAAGTTTAGTGAGTAACCAGTAATAAATTAAATTTTGGTGAACAATTAATAATCTAGTAATCATTAATTAAATTAACTCGAGAAAACGAGAGGAGGGAAAAAAAGTGAAGAAAAGAAGAAGAAAAAAAATCGGTTAATAATAATCTGTATCATGAAACTTTATACATCAATATATAAATAATAATGTACAAGTAAAATTACTCTTTAATTATTCAACTCACGTATCTACCCATTCAAACATGAAATTGTTGAGATACATTTGCTAAAATTTTTGGTCAAGAATATCCCAAAAGACCCGTCAAAATCTTTTGCTCCCTTTGCAAGAATTGGATCCAAATAACACCGTATAAGCATAACAAAATAAAAATCTGGTTCAATAAATATTTTAGCTAATCATTACTGGTTAAAATCTCCATTAACCCAATCCTCGTCGAGCAAAGAATTTGCAGCTGTAATGGATTTCTGGCGAAGAGCTCGGACCTTCGCGGAGGAAGCTGCAAAGCAATCACAGGAGCTGACGCAGGGAATTGCCACGGTTAACCTGTCCGACGTCGTTTCGGAGGCTTCGAAGCGATCCAAGGAGTTAGCCGCCGAGGCGTCGAAGAAGTCGCTGGAGCTAGCCAATGAGGCGATGAAGCGTGCCGATCAGATCAAGTCTCAGCTTCCGCCTTCAGCCGTGGTGGCGCTGACTAATTTTGTGGAGTCGTCTGAGAAGGGAAATGAGGCTGATCTGGAGAAGTTTGGGGTGACTGACGATTTGAGGGAGTTTGCCAAGGGTATTACTATAAGTACTTTTCAGGAATTCCCGCTAGAAGGTATTGTATTCCAATGTACTACTTGATCTGCGTTTGTTAGGCTCTTTTGTATGCTGTTAAATGTGGTTTACCGCTGAAAACCTGTTTCAACGATCTAATTGGCGTTGTTTTTCTGTATCTGTAATTTTGAGGGTCATTATCTGCTGAAGATTATGAAGAAAACGGGCTAATCAGAATGATTCCAATCTAACTATCCCTTAGATCCTATATCTTTGTTGCGAATAGCATGTAAAAGCCTTCAGCGTCCTACAAAGTCCGACAAATTCCTGTAACTGTCCGTTGCGGGTCCTTTTTGTTCATCAGATTGGATAAAGTCGCTAATTTTATGAAAAAATGCTAAATAGATGTATAAACCTTTGGCGATATATTGCTCTCTAGACATCCCTGACTGTAGAATTATGCTTCTTGTATGATCATTCATATTGGATTTCAAGTTTCCAATTGTTCTCCACTGTTCTTTTGCTTTTGCTTTTGCTTTTGCTTTTGCTTCCATTTTCTGTTTTATGGTTGGAGTTTAACAATTACGAGAAAGGAAAGAAAACTCCACGGCGGAATTTACTTTTACTTTGGAAGATGTTGGTAACTTTTTGCCCCTTCCCCGTCTTTTTCTCTTTGTGCTTTTATTTTCTTTATGTTCATTCCCCTTTTGTTGCAAGAACTCATTTGGACCAGTAATTTTTGTGCAGATGACTCCGAGATGTCTGATAGTGCTATGGTTTCAAATGTCCGTCAGGATCTCAATGAATGGCAAGAAAAGCATGCGAAGCTTGTTCTCTCAACAGTTAAGGTTAGATACATCTTGCTAATCAGCAACACCTACGGTAGTGTTTAAGTGGGATGAAGGTTAGATCTATCTTTCTCATCAGGAACATCTATGGTAGTGGTTAAGTGACAAAACAAAGTGTCTAAACCTTGTTCCCAATATATTTTGAAAATGGCTTGATAGTGGCTAAGGTGGGAAATACATATTTAGTACATACATGAAGATAATAGAAAGAATCCTTTGAGTTATGTATGAGGGTCTTAAAATACAATTTAATCATAAATAGCCATGTCATGAATAACGGTATGTACGTATTACCTAATTAAGTACCCTCCTCAATTTGGTATATGGATGTGAAGAATATTTGAAACAACTCTGAACTCTTGATCAGTAAGATTTGTGTGCAATGCCCTTTTCCTGCAAGAGCTTCTTGTTTTTCTTGTGAGGACTGGGATGACCTCACTTTGAGTTTGAAATGGCGGATATCCAATTTGTGCTGTCCAAAAAGGAATTTCATTGTATATACGGGCATATAAGGCTGGGTGTTGATTGCAGTCTCTTTCCCAGGTTCAAGCAAACTCCAGAAAATTGTCATGCTGACTCTCCTGCATCTATTGTTCAATATTTCAATGTGGCCCCTTTATTCGCGTTTGCTGCTAGGGGTCCCTAGAGCCATATTAATAGTCAGTAATAGTTCTGACTCCTGGTAGATGTTTTCTTCTTGGATCTTGAATCTACAATCTATTTTTCCACTTTTCATCCTTTAAAATATAGGCTTGATTATAGGTGTGACAATGATAGTGAATGCCACAAATTGGTAAATTTTTTATAAATAATATGCCAGAATGCATGGGAAGACTTCCTTTTGTGCTGTAGTGCCCCTGATGTGAAGCAATTTTTTGGTTTTTTGGAGCCTTAATGAATGAGTGAAATCTCTTCCTTTTTAGTAGAAGTCAATATTATTTTATTTTAAGTTCTCCCTCCCCTCACCCAAACTAATATCTGAGCCAAACAAATCTAAAATTTTTCCATCACCTGGGAATAATAAATACAAAACAGGCCCCAAAGAAATAGACGGAAAATACTTCTTAAGCTGATTTCTAGATGAAGTTAGTGTTATGAGGAATTGTTGCAAAGCTGCTGAGGGAATTCTTTATATTCACTTTCTCATGGTTTAGTAGGTCATATTGGTTGAAATTGTCATGAGTAGTGAAAAAGGTTCTGTAGCTGACATCATTTCCATTGAGAAAATGGCTTTGTTGTTGTTCATTACATTTAAGAGATTGAAACTGACTTTAGACACTTCTTGTTTTTTGTGGAGGGAAAACATAAGATGGCAGTGCAGAGTGGTTGTGAATCTATTGGAGTGCCAAAATGAACATAAGTCTTGCGATGAATATAACCGAGTTAGTATTATTGATGGAGCACATCTTTTATAATGAGGTAACTTAGATGGTTTGAATTTCTATTCACACAAATGCTGTTAAGGTTTAGGTGTTTGTGATTTGCTGCTACACAGCATATTCAAAGCAATGAGTTTCTAGATATCTTTAGTTTGTTGTTTGAGCTTCTCACATGGCTCAATAACAAGTCTGAAATAAAAGAATGTATTTGGGATTCAGTTAGGCCTTCTGCTAACACAGATGCATGGATATAGTTTTGTAATCCTCTTTGTCCCCGCAAAACCGCCAAATGGGTGGCAGATTTGTTCTTTTTAGTATTATTTGGAAATGAACATTAGTTTACTTGAGAAAAGAAAAGTAAATTAGAATACTAGTTGGTTTTACCCAGATTTACCTTTTTCAACCTGCGTATACATGCTACAAAAGTATCTCCACTCTATTGTTTCTCCTTCTTTGAAAATTAGATAGTGTCTGCAAGCTAGTTGCTGCATCACAATGTTATGCCCTATTATAGTTAGATTTGGATCTTGTGCCTCTACGTATATGGCTGTTTTCACTAATATTATCTGGGTTATGCTTTTTATGTGTCTCATAATGATGTAATTTTGCAAACCCTGCTGTTTGGATTTTGGCATGGTTTACTAGAATCAAAATCACGTTTCATGCATGATCAAGACAAGCTTACTAGAAAACATGCTGTAGGTGGAAATGGGGTTGCGGAGAGGAAAAGAATGATCCAAAGAACGAGTTGAATCTTATTAGCTGTCTTCTTTAATTTAAATGAATTCAATGACTAAGTCAAACCCTTAAACACAGCATTGCAACAGTAATTAAATGATTTTTTATTTTTATTTTTTTATTTTTTTGCAGGAAATCTCGAAGCTAAGGTACGAGTTATGCCCCAGAGAGATGAAGGAGAGGAAGTTCTGGAGGATCTACTTTATACTGGTTAGCAGTCATGTCGCACCGTATGTAACTTTTTCCCTGTAAAAGTCTTATTTTGGATTGGTTTGGTGAAGACTGTTTATTCTATATTCGCAGTTAAATCCAATCACCAATGATTCTTCTGATTTGGGTTTTTAAAGCATTTTTAAATAATTAGGTACAGAATATGAACTTCAATACTGGTGACTTTTTTATGAATGCTGAATATATTTCGGTTTGACATTTTGCTCTTTATTGGGAGCGGGAAAAATTCTGCTGAGTTTCTAACTTGAACAGAAATTAAGGGAGGGAGGTGAATTTAAAATAGATTTTGTTCATCTCATTTTTTTTGCTGTTAGCATCTTGGTGTGTGAACACTGCTTCTCCCGGTACTTCAGTTGCTCTATACTTTGGATAAAGCTGTTTTTTGATCTAGAGATGAACTTTGTGTTCTAGTCTACTACCGATTTAGTTCATATTATAAAGCTTCTCCAGATTTCTCGTCCCAACAAGAAATGAGTTACTGTGATTGAATACCCATGTAGAATAAGGCCATTAATCGAATATGCTGTTCGATTTGTACCTGCACCTACTTCAATCTTTTTAGTTCTTTGTTTTTTGTTAGTAAAGCATGTTCTTCCTAGAACTCGCGACGACATCACTTGGTATACAGTGAGAAGCCACTAGCTATTTCTATGAAAGGAAGTTTATTGCATACGACTTGAGTTTAGCTGAACTTTTTCTCTTGTGCTTCTTACGAATTGGAAGCACAATTTGCTTAATGCATGTGATCATGATATTCATGATATTAATTATAAATGAAAATTATAGAACTTGGGATGTGGTATTGACAACCACTATAAACAGATCATCTAAGTCTCCCTCTCTATCTTTCACATTTTTTGGGGGGTGTGGATTAATGAGTTTTGACTAGAATACTTCTACTTTTATTGGTAGGTATGAAAAGAAGTATATGGAAGATGTGAAGCAAAAACATGCTGAAAAGATAAAAGATTCTGAGGTGAAGGAAATTTCATCCGGTGTAACATCTCCTAAAATGGCAGTTGATGATTCAAACCAGAAAAACAGTAAAGCGAAGTCATCAGCATCTGAGCAAGACTTGGATGTATTTCTCCTCGGGGACCTTGAAGAGAGTGACAACGGCCCAGGTATACTACAGGCTCTCCTTAATGTGCATGTCACATGTATCTGCATATCTTTAGGCTTCTTTTGCTCACTTCTTTTTGTCACCCTTCCTTTCCCCACCCCCCTCTTGCCCTTTTTTCGTGTTCTATTGTGCTTTTCTATTGTCAAACTTGGCTTACAAGTCTCCTTATGTTCTTGACAAGGTTAGCACCAACAACCATCCTTCTTGTTGCCACCATCAATCCCATGTTTCCCGTATCTCTATCTATATCCAGCTGTCTTGCATTTTTTTTTTTATTTTCCTGATATCAGGTTAACATAGAATTGGTTCTGATGTAACCCACATGATGACATGTCACAAAACTTTAACTCACTCAAGTTTTAACCTAGTCACTATGTCTGCAAGTTTAGGATTCTCAAACTTACGTTGGTGTAAAAAATAATAAAACCTCACTTCATATGTAAGGAAAAACTCTTTCTTCTATTCCGTACACCCCCCTTTTCTCCCTCGCCCCCCTCCCCATTTTATATTCAGTGATGAATCATAACATGAAACACTCTTTTTTATTCTGTCCAGAATCATAGCGCGCTGATTATCTTTTTGGTTTCTCAGATGACAGGGAAGATATATTTGAAGACGATTTTGACAAGATATAGCTTGGTGAGTGCAGTTTATTGTATATATCTGTTCTTCTCCCTTGTACTATTTATACTCATAAGCCCCTGTTTGATGCCCATTATTTCATTAAAATGAGTATTGCAATACTGAATTATTGGAAAATGTGTGGTTAAAAAGTAGAAAAAAGTTTTTGGTTTACGTGCAAAATATTTTATTTTGAGAATTTGTAATTGGAAATGAGTTTGAGGAGAAATGAGTTGAAATAATGGGAATCAAACAGGGACTAAATATCATTAATCAAGTTCTATTGCAGAAATCAGTCAAGAGAAAGAGTTGCTAATTTTGTAATCGTGTACTTGCTATGAATCTATGCATTGCATTGCTTAGTTCCTTCCTAATAGATGTAACAAAAATTTAGTATTGAGAGAATGCTATCCTCGGCAAATGTCTTGGGAAAATAATGACCTAAGTACTACTGATCACATGTAGTATGGAAGGCAATAGAAAGATAGGAAATTATACATAAATATCTCTGAGTTCGAAATTCCTATCCAGAAACTGACCAAACCTTGAAAAATCTTTAACAAATATAAAAACATTGTAGAATTTATGTAAAATACTGATTTCTGAAAATACAAAATAATCCTGACTCGAGCGAAATGAAACTCAACCTAATGAAGACTCAATTACAGGACGATTTGTGCTACAAAATATCTTTGGTGGAATTTGAGTTATGCCAGGGATTCTTCCTTTTGCCTGTTTTATTCTGGCATTTTTGTTGAAAAATGTAAAGTCATCCTTAACATTAGTGCTTTGATTACTCCTCTTTTGGTAGTAAAGAAATGAGGAATGGAAGGAACTCAAAGGGGAGGATGGTCACTTTAGCAGAAAGTATCAATATCTTTAATCAAGTTAAGGGGCTAATGTTGTGGCTTCATGAATTATGGAATATTAAATTTTTATGACAGCCATAGAATATGCAAAGAGTGCATCTATTTATTTCTAGTGAACGCTTAATTACAAGTGGATCTTCAAGATTCTACAATTTACTTTTGCATAAATTTTATTTGGTTAAGTGATCAAAATTAGGTCCAAGTTTTGTTTAAAACAAATTCTTGGATATAGTTAACAGAACCTGATATGGTACCAGTGTTCTAAATAGCGCGCTAATGCGCAGCGAGGCTAGGGCGCCAAACACTTGTTTGGCGCCTTATTTGGCGGTCAATGGACGCGAGGTGAGGCTAAGGCGCCAACGCGCGCATTATTACCCTTTTTTTTTTAGTTAGAACTTGTAATTATTAAATAATTTATAATTATTAAATAAATTTTTTTATTGATTAAAAATTTAAAATAATATTAAAATAAGAAAACATTTTTTTACTTATTTGCCTCGTCTAATCTCGCATTGCCCTTAGCTTGGCATCAATTCATCGTCATGCATTACGCCTTTTAGAACACTATATGGTACCATCACTGTTGACAACATTTTCTTTTATACATGAGGAGTTATATCTATAGGTGATGCAATGTGATTTTATTTGCTGCTGGACCACGATGGTATTAATAAGAGCTTGTTTGGCTGTGCTTGACAGTAATTCAAACTTACTTTTAAGTCATTTTTCGAAACTTGATTTTCAAAGTTGCTTTCATTACTAACTTCACTAGAAAGGACGTTTTAACCATATACAAAAGTAACGTTAAACTTCAGCCAAACTTGCTCTAAATTGGGTTGATGCAAATCTGCTTATCTTTAGTTAATCACTTTTAATGCAGTCTGTTTGATGATCATGTGTCCTAAATCCACAAGAAAATGAGAATATATAACAGTCGAAGGGCCACGGCTGATGTTGCTCGCAGTAATGCCAATACTTCTGATTTGGAGGATAAAGCACTAATCTTAAGAAGGCTAATTCTGATGTTGCAAAATCTACGGGACAATAGTAAGTTCTCTCATCTTACCTTCTTCTTTTTATTTTTTATTTTTAGAATCTGGCAAAATCGATTTTACTACTAGACTAGAGTATATTTTTTTGTTCTTTTCATATGACTATGGAGTTTTAGAGCGTTTAGTAGTTTTCGACTCTTCCTTCACCTTGCTGAATCAATCAGCAAAATTACTCTTTTAGGTTCTTTGCCGTTACATAATCTATGTTTTTGCTGTAAATTTCGTTGCGTTTTGTACCATTATAAGTTAATTCTCTTGCTACTTATATAAGCATGAAGGTGTTATTTAGATAACTTTGTGCCTTGTGTGTTCGATTAATTGTAGTCCGAAAATAAAATTAGAGCAATCCAGTAGCAATAAACTTTTTGGTACAATCCAATTTGCCTGCTGGATGAGATAAAATGAAATAAAGAATCAAAGCCTACATCTCTACAGTAGGTAATGCATTTTTGTCTTGAAGTCATTGGATTTCTTCCTAATAAAATATTGAATAATGTTAATGAGTACTACAGTTGTAACATTACTCTAAAAGATTGGTCACAACTGAAATTGCGTCAATTTAGTGTATGCTTGATGTCAGCTATTCTCAAATATTCCATCCCCGTCTTATTTATCAATGTAACATCACTTTCAAGGTGGCACGACATTATCAGAGCGCCGCTCTCCTCTCACCTATTCAATATTTTTCTACACCTAAAGACAATCAAATTTAGTACCGAAAGCGGCAGTTGACATCAAGCTAAATTATTATATTAATTTTCTTAGCTTCATTAAAAATATTAGAGTACATAAAATCTCACGATATTTTATAAAAGGATTGATACGCTCAACCTTTTAGGACATTTAAAAGGATTGATAAGCTATACCATTTCGTAGTGACGCTATCTAAATTCGGACCTTGACTGACCTAAGGACTCGTGGTATTAAGGGACTTGTTTGAGAGTCAAGGATGGAAAAAGCCAAACGTTCAAGGTGGGAGACAGATTCAAAAACAGGGCGTCGACATGGTGCCCCCTATTGGAGGGTCGGCTGTTGGGCAATGGTGCCCTTTTTTTGCCCTGTCCCCCACCCTGGACAGGAAGCAAAACTGGTCAAGGATCGTGGTGACCTAAGGTGGTCAAGAGACCCAGGGCCTTGTTGGTGGCGGACTCATTTGAGAACTAATGGTCTTTGTGACATGAGGTGGTAAAGAGACTCGAGATATTGTTGGTTCTGGCAAGTCAATGGTCTTTTTGATTTGAGGATATGAATTTCAATTTAACTTAATTCGAGTATTAATTGCATCAAACATCGAATAAGGACTAGATATATAATCGTTTTAATCCTTATTCAGTCTAATACGATGCGTCAAATGTGCCCTTACAAATAAACGTGAAAATTTATTTTATTTTTTGGTCAATAAGATACTTAAATAGCAAACACATCTCATATCCTAACACTGTACAATACGAATATGGCAAATATTGAAATTTTAATTTAACACGTTTTAATCATTGGGAATGTTAAAAAAATGAAATAATAAATTTTCTCAAACTTTACGGTTCTGTGAATTTCATTTTTCAATATAAATCAAAGGATTTAAAACAATGAGATTTCGAGATGTCGGCATCTCTTGGCACTTCATTGTAGTGTGACCAATTAAATACTGCCACGTTTATTAGTGGGCCCCGCCTTTAGCTGGATCCTCATTCATTAATTCTGGTGTACACAGTACGCATACACCCTTATAACAGGTTCACCACTCAGATTTATTAGTTATTTGATTTATTCAATACACCCCTTCTCTTTTAATTATTTTATAACAAAAATTTTGTATCATTGAAATTTAACTTTTCATTATTGGTGACGAAAATCGTCTAAATCTTCATCACGTTATTACCTGACCTTATTGGAAATGATTTCAAATATTTGAATATCGATCTCACCTGAAAAGTAAAATTTAATTCTATATAATTGAATATACAAATTTGACGTCTACTTGCTCTTTATTAAAAAGTCAAGTCAAAGCAACACGTCAATTATTTATTTTCGATAGTAAATAATCTTTAACCTTTTTGGGCAATTCAGGGGAGCAGATATAGACAGAAGATTAACTGGGCTTGTTCCTTAAAAGATAATAATAAAAAGACTAAAAGGACATTAATTTGTGTCAATTTAATGATGAATTTCTTAATAAATGTATCAACTAAGTAATAAACAGTTTCCATTCGAGGCTATCTCCGTTCAACTTTATCCTTCCAAGGTTTTGCCATTTATATTCTTTTTTAATACGTCATTGACGATGACTAACGTAGAAATTGATAGAAAATGACAACTTTGACGATAACTGCGATAAAGTCCAATTATTATTTTTCTTCTTTTGACATAAAATTGTATTTCTTGAATTATGTCTCATGAAAGTCCTATCAAGAATAAATCAATTTTTTCAAGAAGAATCAAAATAACTCATCCTTAAATGCAATGTAGTAATTATCTTTTCTTTTTCTTTGGTCCAATTGAATTAATTGAAGTAAATCTACTTCAAAGCCCTATCTTAATGTGAGCCATGTTTTCTCTTTTGCAAAAGAAAATACTTTTAAAAAGATCAACCAAATAAAAAAACAAAAAAACAAAAGAAAGGAAAAAAGAATCTTGATGAGTTTTGATGTAAAATTGTATTTACTAATTAAGAATAATGCCACTTTATCAGAAAGTAGGTGACATAATGGTTGACATAATAGGTGTTGACAAGACGTGATTGATTGAAAAAGCTAATTATATTTTGGGGTGTTATCCATAATAGTGTCCCACCCCCTCACATGTGCCGGGCCCACCTAATATTTTGGTGGGCCTGGCACATGTGAGGGGTGGGTCACCATTATGTATCCCCTTTATGTACCACAAGGGTTTTCCTTATATTTTATACAATTCAATGATATATTGCCATATGACATTATGTTAACGATTATGTCAACCATTATATTTATGTAGTATGATTGTTTAGTGATAATAAGAGTTCCTTTCTTTTTCATCTCTCTTTCATGTCATCTACTTGTATGTATACAATAATGTACAAATAGTATTACTCTTACTAATTAATGAATAATAATAACTATTTATTTATTTTTATTTTTTTTAACAAATCGGGATAGGCTATCAAAAAGTAAAACGTCAAAGGATGATCGACGAGGAGGACTTGTGATGAGAGTTTATATTGCTGAATCCTCTCTAATGATCAAAAATATTGAAATAAGGTCGAACTAGTAATAAAAATCTATTAAAAAGGATAAATAGTTTTTAGTTAAAGTGGCCAGTTTTTAGTTTATTTCACCTCGTTTGTATGGTTAAAAAAATTGATAAAAATTTAAGTCAAAATTAACAATTAATTTTAATCATATAATTTATGAAATTCATAATGTTTATCAAATTTTCAATCACATTTAATTATTTGTTATCAATTTTTTATTTTCTTAAAATCAAAATCGAACGGTGCTGACAACCTAATTTGTATAAAAAGATGAATGGTGTTGGTGTGTTATGATGGAGCGCGTCACAGGAGATTAAAACTATATAATCAATCATATGAACTGCCCCCACCAACGGACTCTGTCTTGTTGTATCTGTCTCCTTTTCAATTCCCTCCGCCGCAATCTTATTTACTTGCCCCCGTCGACGGCTGCCGGAGACTACTTCAACACCTCCCTGGATTGCACACCGGATCTCAAACAAACTCTTTTCATTTCTTCACTTAACACTCGAAAACTTCAAATTTTGGCCCGGGATCCTGTGAGATCGAGGCTTTTTCTTGTCTGTTACTGTTGGAATTGTGTGTGTGAAAAAATAAATGTACATTTTGAGTTTGCGTGTTTAAAAGAATATTTCCTTTTGATACCAACAAAGCATTTGCTGTTTCTCGTTCTGATTTGAGATTTTGATCGTCATCTGAACAGTATTTTATCTCATTCTCTGTACTTGATCCAAAACCAGAACGACGTAGTTTTTTTTTTTTTTCCCCAGCAAGTGTGGCAAATTGAGTGTATGGGGTTGACATGTGTAGAACTGAGGGAGGAGGAGGAGTAATGGGGTTGAAAACGACGGCTTTTGGAGGGGATAAATTAGAGAAGCTGAGAAGTAATGGGGCGGTGGCAAAGAGAAAAATGAGGATATGGATTATAAGGGCAACGACATTGGTTTTGCTGTGTACTTGCTTGGTTCAGTTGACGGCACTGGGAGAGACGTGGGGGCCAAGGGTATTGAAGGGCTGGCCTTCTTGCTTTTCTCGAGAATCGGCTGCGGCTGCCACCTTGGAGGTTAAGTCATCGCCGGAGCTCCCGGCCAGAGTTCTGCCGGTGAAGAGTAAGTGGCCCATACTTTTATAATGTTTGTGTGTTTGTGTAATATGGAAATGGAAATATCCCAATTCAATGTGCAAAATCATTTATTGATTACACTCTTGTTGAAAAATCTCCCTTATTAGTTCACAAGGCGGACATTCCACAAGCCATATCGTCAAAAGTCTTGAGCTGTAAGCGAGAGAGACAAACTCTTTGACACGCCCCCAAACTTGCAGACTGAATTTCATTTTTCACCAATGTCCTTACATATAAGGATGTGAATTGTTATATATAAATGCGTTACTGCAAGATCCCAGATTTTTTGCTCTAATACCACGTTCAACTACCTTTTGTTGAAGTCTTTACACGTGGATAAGATGGGTAGCTGTGAGTTTCGTTCTTTTGAATTACCTCGTCTAAAAGCTAAATTGAGGCGATTCAGCAAGCGATTTGTGACCCAGTCACGCCATTATGTTTTAATTAATGAAGCAACGGCATCTGTTTTTGTACGTTAAGTAGCAAATAATTGGTAACAAGTCTGTTCTTGTTTTCTTTCCCTTTCTTCAATAAAATGCAAGTGTGTACTAAATGTGCTTATGTGGTGATGTTGAAGTGTTTTCCTTGCTAAGGACATGTTATTAGATTTAGTACTATATGTGTTAACATTTATTCTAGTAATTACGATCTTAATTTATGGATAAGTGAGAAATTATGCAATATAAGATATACTCTAACTGGATCCTGTTCTGTAAACCTATGAGGTTCAAGAAAATTCTGTCTACAATCGACAGATAGATTCTTTCAATTCAAGATTCATCTTAATCACTAAAGGACTTGTAGATTCTTCTATTCTTTTGGATGGTTCCTTTATTTGTTATAGTTATAACTTCTTCTTCTTCTTCTTTAAAAAATAAAAATAAAAAAATTGGCTTATTACAATTTTCCCTGTTTTGTTCTAGACCGAATGAAATGAAAAAAGGAATCTGTGTATGCAACGCCAAGTTTCTTGGGATTAAGGTTTAGCTAGTAGTAGTATTAATTATCATTGTGTTGTTTTCCTCATGTTATTCTTTTAGTATGAACTTGTTTTGCATGATACTCCAGAATTAACTTCCCTTGAACCTTTTACTGCATGAATTCTGGTGTGGACTGCCCTTTTGATGTGGTGTTTGAATATAGGGGTTTACAAGAACAATGGTTACCTGATGGTCTCGTGCAACGGAGGGCTTAATCAAATGCGCGCAGCGGTGGGATTTTTTAGTTGTTAATTGATATGCATATGATGAAGTAGAAACTTATTTGAGTTCCTGAGTTTTCCTAATAAAATCAAATGGTTAACTGGAACTGTCATTTCTTTGGCTACAGATATGTGACATGGTTGCAATAGCAAGATATTTGAATGTTACATTGATAGTTCCCGAGCTGGATAAGACTTCTTTTTGGAATGACCCAAGGTGTGCCTAGATTCTCAATCATACCATTTTTCACTCATAAATTGATTCTTTATCACGTAGGATATTTTTAGTTGGTAAGACATTCGTTATCTTTGATTTCTCAGTGAATTCCAAGACATATTTGATGTCGACCATTTCATCTCATCCTTGAGAGATGAAGTTCGGATATTGGAGGAACTACCACCACGAGTCAAGAGGAGAGTTGAGCTAGGAATGAGATATACGATGCCTCCCGTTAGTTGGTCGGACATTTCTTACTATCAGAATCAGGTTGGTGGTTTGTGGTCTTGTTGCTTTGATTTCTTCTGCTTTATGTTATGAATTAATTAAGACCCATCCCAATTACAAGAGCAATATGAATCAAAAGAAAATCTGAAACACACTAGAAAATACACACATTTTTATCACCCTCAATGTGAGAACTATGTATATAAGATTTGAGGTTTCATCTTAAAAGATCAACCTTATTAAAAATAGTCCAAATCTTTATAAATTGATCTATGTTTTCATCTTTAAAAATAGTCCAACCTTATTAACATATCCACGCAAGATGGCGGCTCGTATGACCATACCAATCTTAAAGTTCATGTGATCATTTTTTGAGTTTTAATCGGATCGAATTGTTGTTGGAGTTTAATTTGCTCTGATATCATATTAAGACTTGGTATTTCATTTTAAAAAGTCAAACTTGTTAACAGGAGTAGTCCCGACTCTTATAAATTGGTCTATATTTTCATCTTTATTTGATGTGAGATTTTATCCCTTAACACTATGTCCACTGGTAAATTCTTCCCTAAATGCCCTCGTATATCCTTTACTTAGTAGGAATATTAATTCGACCTGTGTTCGGGGAGAAAGTAGACAATATGATCAAGCTTTATAATATCCAAGACTGTACCCTTCTGATTTCTACTTCAATTGCATTTCACTCTTTTTACATTAAAAATGCAGATACTTCCTCTGATTCAGAAATATAAAGTTGTGCATTTAAATAGAACAGATGCTCGCCTTGCCAATAACGGTCAGCCCTTGGAGATTCAGAGGCTTCGTTGCCGAGTAAACTTCAGTGCTTTGAGGTTCACTCGTCAGATTGAAGAATTGGGCAGGAAAATAATCAATATACTTAGGCAAAATGGTCAGTTCATGGTACTTCATCTCAGATATGAAATGGACATGTTAGCTTTTTCTGGCTGTACTCATGGCTGCAATAAGGGCGAGACGGACGAGTTGACAACAATGAGGTTGTTTACTTCTTTATGTTGTTGAAGGCCTAATTTAAATAAACGAATGTATTTTCTCTCTAACGCATTTATGTCAAAATTGTGCACGTGTCGGGCTTTCGATCTAACCTACACACGAGGAGACATGTTGAATATATTAATTAGATGAATAATCTCATTTCCTTTTTTAACATATTAAGCTTTTAAATATGATGGTTCAATACTATTGTATAAGTATATGTAGAAATTGAATATTTCTTCATTGTTTTGCTAAGCTTTTGCCTCTCGCCTCACCAGATATGCTTACCCATGGTGGAAAGAGAAAATCATAAACTCCGATTTGAAAAGGAAAGACGGTCTATGTCCTTTGACACCTGAGGAAACTGCGCTCACGTTAAGGGCATTAGACATTGATCGCAATATCCAGATTTACATTGCTGCTGGAGAAATTTATGGTGGACAAAGAAGAATGAATGGACTTGCAGCAGCTTATCCCAACTTGGTAAGTAAATTAGCCGAAGCTAACAGCTGATATGGAATCAACACGTGCCTTTTTTTATCTCACTTGTCTTTTGCTTTATCATAATTTATAACAGGCTCGGAAGGAGACACTGTTGAAGTCTTCAGACCTGAGTTCGTTCCAGAATCACTCTTCTCAAATGGCAGCACTCGATTATCTTGTTTCGCTGGAGAGCGATATCTTTTGTCCTACCTACGACGGAAATATGGCTAAAGTTGTTGAAGGCCATCGGAGGTAATGATTTTTGGTAAATAAATCTATTAATTGACTCGCCTTGAAAAAAAATTAGAAAGAAGATTTCTGTATTTTGCACTATATTCTCTAACTTCCCTCCTAGTGATTAATGAAACACAAAGGTCAAAGAATGACCATAGTGAAGTTTAACTCATTGCATAAAAATGATTCTCATTAAGCCTGGATTTATTGTCTTAGTTGATTTGTTAAGTTATTGTACATTTCATTATTGTTTTCATGATTCAGAGTATTCTTCCTATTCTATCCCTTCTAAAAAGAATCAATTAGTGTATCTATTATGTACCTACCAGCTTCAGATATTTCAGTCTGAAATTTCTTTGGTTGTGTCTCTTTCAGATATCTCGGGTATAAGAAAACAATGTTATTGGATAGAAGGCTTTTAGTCAATCTAATAGACCAATATAAATCCGGTTCGCTAACTTGGGACGAATTTTCAGCTGCGGTTAAAGATACTCATGCTGAACGCATGGGAAGCCCTACAGTAAGGTTGGTGATTCCTGATAAACCTAAAGAAGAAGATTATTTTTATGCCAACCCGCAGGAGTGTCTGCAACATTTAAGTGACAACGAGCCACAAGGTGGTATTCAAACATCTTTTCCAGTAAACAGTGGTCGGAATCCAGGCAGTCAAGTAATGGATGTCAATACAGATTCCCCATCTGAGTTATTTTGAGACGAGGATTAGCTTTGACGCTGCTTTCTTGAAGATTATATATGAAGCCAGGAGAGGATTGCATTTAACGGGATCACATTTATTTTTTTTTGTGTTTTTTTTTTTTTTTTTTTTTTTTTGGTATAAGTTAATGATACAATTCATGTATAGAAACTTACCCTGCCTTTCAAGGGTTACATCGACTTATCCTCAGTATACACACAAGGATGCATATACAGATTTTCTTTTACTGGAAATTGGATTTGCCTGAGGTTAAGCTTTTAATCTTCTTTCCTTTTCCTTTTTGTTCATCAGCCTGTGTTCCATACTGCCTTGTTGTCATTCAACAATATAATGCTGGTGGCTAAATATGTATTTTTTGTCCTCCTGCGATCAGCATGTCGATAAGTATTCTGATAGCCTAGTAAAGTTTGTCTGGAGAGCTGGATCGTCTCATTTTTATCTTAAGAAAATGAAATTATACGAGGAAAAATAAAAATTCTGTCGGCTTTCTGAGAGCATGGCCTGCCCAGTCTAAACTTGTTGGCTGTGGCTAGCTATTTTTACATGCGATCCAAAGAGCTTTATGTGAACAATCCTGACTATAGAAACAAAAATCCCAAAAATTTGAGTGTCCAATAAATGTTTTGTTGGTAGACTTTCCTCTGTAAACAACTGGTTCTTAGGGTGTCTGATATAACCAATGTTGTGGCGAAAATAAGTGATTATGGCCAAATGTTTTTTGTACTTTTTATTGAAATAAGTTTTTATAAGCAATTAAGAATGTCAAATGGTTCATTTGAGAATGTATGTTTTGTCAACCAAATGACACAAATATAAAACAAAATTAAATTGAATTAGTGAAATATCATTTTGTCATCGTGCTTCTTGTTTTCCAATAATGCCTATATGGCTGTGCCCTCTGCTCGTTCTAAGAAAATATTATTCCAATTTCACTAACCTATTTTTTGCGAAAGACCAAGATAATATGAGTGTTACTTTTGCAACTATTATGTGCCGCACAAGTGATTTTAATTGCTCGACTAAATGGACCAATAGATGTACTAATTATTCAGGTATCTCTTTACTGTATTAAACTAATTAGATGGATCAGATGTATAGAATCATCTCATGTCCCATATAATTAATCAATTATTACAAATTATAGTACAATTTTGGGATGGAGGAAGTGAATACATCTACAAAATTGTGTTTGCAAATGGTAATAAATTCTATACTCTTACCTGTCCTAAATTATGGTTCCGACGACAAGAATAGGCAATGAAATGGCGGGGCCTTTATTCACAAGACCGCTCCGGCATGAGAATTATAAAACAACTAAATATTTGAGTGAAAAGTTGAGATCTAATCCTATACGTGAGAGAATTAGACTCTATTCGAAGTAATTGCTTCCGAGGACAATGTCACCTTCTATTGGTAGCCAGGTTTTCCGTAATCCATTCTTCACATCCGGAGCCAATTCTTAGAACATGGCAACTTGCTGATTGGGCGTATGGATATAGTTCCCCAAGAGTTGTGGACGAACATCTCACACAGTCGTATGCCTTAAGGTCTATCACGTGTGTACCAAAATAGACGAGAGCTGTCACTATTGTCCTATGGAGGGCGAGGCATCTAGCCGACCTTTAGAGTACTTGATTCCAGTTGATCGGCTATACACTAGGAAAGGACGGCAACTTCCAACATGCATATAGCTTACTTATCCCTTCTAATATTAGACACAACAGAGATGCTACTTCAATCATCGTAGACCAAATATCACGATCATTTGAATAAGAACGGGTGCACGTCCCATTTTGTGGATCCAGAGATCATCAAAATCATTGCTAAAATTTCAAAGTAGACTTCAAGCCAAGCCACTTTTCTTTTGGCATTCCAAACCCACAAACCGAAGTCTCCATCTCCACATAAAATGTTTAAATAAATTTAACAGTTATGTGAAAAGGTGCAGATGATCAAGAAACCGTGCACCTAATTTTCTTCGCTTTTCTAATCAATTACATCATTTTGGGTATCTTCAGTCGGTTACGATTGTGGGGAGCTTATATTCGGGGAGATGACAAATGAATTTATTATGTTATAGACTACATTTTTTAGTTATATATATAGAAATTATAGTTTATCAACTCATTATGTAACAAAATTTAATCTTAAAAATGGAACGTAAAAATATTATTGTATCTAGATAGCTTGAAATTCATAATTTAAAACTGGTAACAATGTTCAGAAACGTCTGGGATCCGTATAAGCCATTAATTCTCGAATCATGCTTGTTGTACAATGATTTTTACAACAAGTTTGACAACATGCTACGTGGCAGGTTATCATTTGACAGTTTGAAAAATATTTTATCTTTCCCATCAACACTTTTTTGACACCTACACCATTATCAAGCATGTTGTACAAATGGCTTATTCCTTAATTTTCACCCTATTTAGAGACGTCTGGGCCTCCCCGTGAACTGTCCCAATTTGGGCTCGGGCTAGTACAAGAAGCTTAGCGGGTTCGTACTGGCCTACCCATGAGAATCCGATCCAGACTCTGAATCCGAATCCGTTTTATCTCCCTCATCATCTCACAGAGGACCATAACCTGCCAAAACCCGTATCCGATTTGGGACTGGGGCTCTCTCCTCTCATCCATGGCGTCCCTGTCATTGTAATTATCAAATATCCAAAGAAAGCTTAAACAAAAACTAAGCTCATGGCGGCAAATCTTCTCTCAAACCCTATACTTTCACCTTCTTTCCTTGGTCATCAACTGTAAGTTTTTTGCTACATTTCATGAATTAATTTACATTTTTTGTATTAATTCGATATATAATCTTGTTCGTAGATTATTATTCCTTTCTTTTCTAAAAAAGAAACTTTATTTTTGATGCAGTTCAGCTCAAGGTAAGTCGAAGAGAATAACGCCGTGCAGCTTCAATTTTCGGGGTCCTAAATGTGCTGTGGATACTCCATATGAAGGTAAATTTACCTGATCTAGGAAAGAATTCAAGCACAAATAGCATGTCTGGCCAAGCTTAAAACTTTTACTTGCTAGGATATTTACTTATAATTAAATAAGTTAGAAATGAGTCACGCTTCGGTATAAGAAAGTTACTTATTTTGGCACTTGACAATAAGAAAATATCAATTTAACATTAATTATTTTGGGTTTTTGAATATTTATAGGTAATATTTCAAAATTTCCTCGGGTTAATGTCTGGGATCCTTATAAGCGGCTGGGTATAACTACTGATGCCTCCGAGGAAGAAGTTTGGAGTGCTCGGAATTTTTTGTTGAGCCAGTATGCTGGTCATGAGAGAAGTGCTGAATCAATAGAAGCTGCTTTTGAGAAACTGCTGATGAGCAGCTTCAGGAATAGGAAGAAAACAAAGATCAACTTAAAGACGAGGCTAAAAAAGAAAGTCGAGGAGTCTCCGCCTTGGGTTAAGAACTTGCTTAGTTTTGTGGAAGTACCCCCACCTGTAATCATTTTAAGAAGATTGTTCCTATTTGCATTTATGGCGTGCTGGAGTGTGATGAATTCTGCTGAAGCTGGGCCTGCTTTCCAGGTTCGTTTTACGTCTCTGACTCGTGATAAAGTTATCATTCAATTTCCACTCAAACATGTTCCACTTAGGGTTGCTTGCCTGGGAGAGTACAGAATATTGTCATTGGCTAAGATCCCATTTTATACAACTATTTTACTCTCACTGCTATTTGTTGGGAAGTTTTATGTTAGATTCTTTGAGAACACATAGTTCACAGTAAATTGACAATAAATTTTGGATATATGTTAATTCATCAGTTGATTGTGTTCCCTAAATGCCTCTAGGTAGTTAATTTTGTCTAAGTTCGGTAAAATGATTGCCTGTGTTGCAGAAATAAGATTCCTAACTTCAGTTTTGGGAAAAGAACTGACCCGGGGAAGCTAGTAATCGGCAGTAAAGAGACAGATACAGAGAAATTGCAGTAAGAAATATCAGGCTTCAACTGTTTAGATGATCCAGAAGAGCTAATATGTTGGCATTATTGTAAAACTGAATTTAGGAGCTTGTACGTTTCCGTTATGAACTATTTATAGAACGAAATTTGCCCAATTTAACAAAAGAGAAAACTGCTGTTGGCATCTCAACTACAAGATCAAGCTACATATTTAAAATAGGACTTAGTTCTTCTTGGGGTGGGGGCGCTCCGGCATGAGAATTATAAAACAACTAAATATTTGAGTGAAAAGTTGAGATCTAATCCTATACGTGAGAGAATTAGACTCTATTCGAAGTAATTGCTTCCGAGGACAATGTCACCTTCTATTGGTAGCCAGGTTTTCCGTAATCCATTCTTCACATCCGGAGCCAATTCTTAGAACATGGCAACTTGCTGATTGGGCGTATGGATATAGTTCCCCAAGAGTTGTGGACGAACATCTCACACAGTCGTATGCCTTAAGGTCTATCACGAGCTTTCTGCAATCTAATAGATCTTGAAATTATATAGTTAGTCGAATGTTTCTGGATTGACCTCCTCCCACAGTTTTGATTTGCTACCTTCCTTCCCTCTATACAATCCCAGGACAGCGACATCAAAACTTTAATCAATAATATAAAATTTTCCTGAAAGTAAGTCGTCTGTCCTTTAATAAATAACATCATTTTAAAATCACTTGACATTTCAGAATGCGTTACTAGATATTATTGAATTTCAGTCCAGGCTTGTGTGCATACATCAGATCATATTGTAAACCCTTCCAACTCATCTACATAAGAAAGAGGCTATATAGAATTGTTTGCAGTGGCTAGCAGAGGGATCTCTGAGCATTTATGAAATACAAAGTGCGGGGAATTCGCCAAGGTCTCTTGGGAGCCAAAGTGCAAAATGAGAACATATTTTGTTGAAGCAAAGAACGTCATATTCAACGACAATTCTCTATACATGCACATTATATTCAACAATATATGAAATTGCAGCAACTTTATGCAAACACCTGTTATTTAAACAGAATCCGCCACATAGTAACTTCATGTGAATATATTATGCGTGTTTCAGCATTTGATCCAATTGCAGCAACAAATATCCATACAATTTAACAAACTAAAATAAAGCCTTTTCATGCGCTTCACTCTTCTTTGAACCTGGCCCCTGGCGCTCTTTTACTCTTCAACTCTATTAAAATAGCTAAGTTGTACCATTGCCGCCTTTGAAAAAACTATTGGACATTCACCAAACATTGTGATGCAATTCATTCTTTGAGGCTTACGAAAGATGATCTCATGGATGGTTGCCAGTGTTCAATTCTTCTCACGGAATCAGTATCAAGCATCTGCGTCATAGGAAATGTTTGCTTCTCACTCAAAAATAAGAACTTTTCGGCATCTTAACATTTTTCTTATCGTTTGTCTAATTTATCATCACATGGTTCACCATATGACCTTGGCAAACTTCTCGTGTGTTACAATCAAACTTAGGCTCTACTTGTTTTCCTTATTTGAACTGATTATTATTTGAAGAGGAAGGATAGATCCTAAGCTAACTTAATGGTTGCTAAAGATCTAATCTTTGGATCTCAAAATGAACTAAGCAAAGTACTGAAAAGGATTCCAAAGGCCACTCCCAAATTTATCAAGACTATAGCTTTGTTTTTTGTTGAACTAATTGTATTTGAAAATAAATTAGGAAAATGATATAAAAAAATGGGTTATTTTTAAGAGTAATGCTATTCAGGCCATCAGTCTATCATTGATCACTGGCATATTGTCCAATAAAACTATATTTTATTTTTATGTATTGGACAATGTGGCATTGATCTCACTGTCATATTTTTAATTATACCATGTGTTTGTGTAGCTAAACATCATATTTTTGGTGGTTGAAAAATTGAAAAAAATTGTAGATTCCATGAAATATATGACTAGAATTAATTATTGACTTTGACTTAAGATTGTTGTCAACTTTTAAAGCTGTACCAAACAGGGGCATAGTAGTCAAAACTTTGTAATTAAGCAATTTCCTAAATCTTAAAGTACGGTGATCGACAAAAGCTTTTATCTAGAAGGAAGTAATGTACTGTCTGGTTATATACGAAATAGAGTAAAAGAGATGGAGAAACCTGTGAGTGCTTGTTTAGAGCATCAGTTTCCTCTGGTGGATTGAACTTGTCCTCCAGTTCTTAGCTTTCTGCAATCTAATAGATCTTGAAATTATATAGTTAGTCGAATGTTTCTGGATTGACCTCCTCCCACAACAAAAGCTTTTATCTAGAAGGAAGTAATGTACTGTCTGGTTATATACGAAATAGAGTAAAAGAGATGGAGAAACCTGTGAGTGCTTGTTTAGAGCATCAGTTTCCTCTGGTGGATTGAACTTGTCCTCCAGTTCTTAGCTTTCTGCAATCTAATAGATCTTGAAATTATATAGTTAGTCGAATGTTTCTGGATTGACCTCCTCCCACAGTTTTGATTTGCTACCTTCCTTCCCTCTATACAATCCCAGGACAGCGACATCAAAACTTTAATCAATAATATAAAATTTTCCTGAAAGTAAGTCGTCTGTCCTTTAATAAATAACATCATTTTAAAATCACTTGACATTTCAGAATGCGTTACTAGATATTATTGAATTTCAGTCCAGGCTTGTGTGCATACATCAGATCATATTGTAAACCCTTCCAACTCATCTACATAAGAAAGAGGCTATATAGAATTGTTTGCAGTGGCTAGCAGAGGGATCTCTGAGCATTTATGAAATACAAAGTGCGGGGAATTCGCCAAGGTCTCTTGGGAGCCAAAGTGCAAAATGAGAACATATTTTGTTGAAGCAAAGAACGTCATATTCAACGACAATTCTCTATACATGCACATTATATTCAACAATATATGAAATTGCAGCAACTTTATGCAAACACCTGTTATTTAAACAGAATCCGCCACATAGTAACTTCATGTGAATATATTATGCGTGTTTCAGCATTTGATCCAATTGCAGCAACAAATATCCATACAATTTAACAAACTAAAATAAAGCCTTTTCATGCGCTTCACTCTTCTTTGAACCTGGCCCCTGGCGCTCTTTTACTCTTCAACTCTATTAAAATAGCTAAGTTGTACCATTGCCGCCTTTGAAAAAACTATTGGACATTCACCAAACATTGTGATGCAATTCATTCTTTGAGGCTTACGAAAGATGATCTCATGGATGGTTGCCAGTGTTCAATTCTTCTCACGGAATCAGTATCAAGCATCTGCGTCATAGGAAATGTTTGCTTCTCACTCAAAAATAAGAACTTTTCGGCATCTTAACATTTTTCTTATCGTTTGTCTAATTTATCATCACATGGTTCACCATATGACCTTGGCAAACTTCTCGTGTGTTACAATCAAACTTAGGCTCTACTTGTTTTCCTTATTTGAACTGATTATTATTTGAAGAGGAAGGATAGATCCTAAGCTAACTTAATGGTTGCTAAAGATCTAATCTTTGGATCTCAAAATGAACTAAGCAAAGTACTGAAAAGGATTCCAAAGGCCACTCCCAAATTTATCAAGACTATAGCTTTGTTTTTTGTTGAACTAATTGTATTTGAAAATAAATTAGGAAAATGATATAAAAAAATGGGTTATTTTTAAGAGTAATGCTATTCAGGCCATCAGTCTATCATTGATCACTGGCATATTGTCCAATAAAACTATATTTTATTTTTATGTATTGGACAATGTGGCATTGATCTCACTGTCATATTTTTAATTATACCATGTGTTTGTGTAGCTAAACATCATATTTTTGGTGGTTGAAAAATTGAAAAAAATTGTAGATTCCATGAAATATATGACTAGAATTAATTATTGACTTTGACTTAAGATTGTTGTCAACTTTTAAAGCTGTACCAAACAGGGGCATAGTAGTCAAAACTTTGTAATTAAGCAATTTCCTAAATCTTAAAGTACGGTGATCGAGAGCATGGTTGTATGGGGCTTATTTGGTGATTATATGCAGGAGAGAAAAAATATGTTTGCTCTGAGACTATGCTTGCTGGACATTTTCCCATTAGAAAATGTTAGAATGACTAGAAAACTATTAGGTTCGTGCCAGTCATAAGTTCCAATTGCCTGCTATACTTTGTGTAATGGAAGTGATTGCTTGGAGGAATGGATTTATTTTATATTTCTGGCATATGAAAAATTTGAAAAGACCTTTACTTTCGTTTTCCCGACATATCTACTTTTAGAATGTTCAATGATGCTGTTGCTCTTATCATTAAGACTATCCTATAATGCATGTTCCTTGGAGGTATAATGCATTCATGCTTATGTAATTATGTTTACATCTATACTAACAATTTAATTTCAAACACTTGAATGTTGTCAACTGGCATATTTTGATTATGTATAATTTTCCCTGCGCAGGTGGCGTTGTCTTTGGCAGCTTGCATATACTTCCTCAATGACAAGACCAAGAGCTTGCCTAGAGCTGCTATTATTGGGTGAGTTTTATGGGAGAAGGGCTCTTTAATTTCCCTTTTTCCCCCAAATATCAGATTCACTGCGCTATTAGTTACTTATTGTCGAATATTTGTTCTATTCATGGCAGATTCGGGGCTCTTGTTGTCGGCTGGATATGCGGTTCTTTCTTGGTTCCATTGATCCCATCGTTTCTGTTGCAACCCACTTGGAATCTTGAACTTCTAACGTCACTGGTAGCGTATGCTTTCATGTTTTTGGGATGTACTTTTCTCAAATGAAACTTCACTGCCTGTCTTTTGACCATGCCATCCTTGTGGAACATGTAACTGCAACTGTTTTACAAGTTCCATTGTACTTCAATCATGGTTTTTGTTAATCGTGATATAGATTTTGAGAATAGAGTTATCGTGCATTCTTCACGAGTTTCTTTCTTTAATGGTCATTATCCTTATAAGCTCTTGTACCACCTTGTTTTATAATGGTGTGTGTGTGTGTGTAACTGTGTATTATGAATTTTTGTATTTGTAAAATTGATGAAACGAATATGAAGATGTGTTTTCAATGTTGCTTATCCCACATTTAGGGCCTGTTTGAGCCACATTATTTTTCAAAAATATATTTTGGAATAGTAAATTAATAAAGAATATGCAGTTTAAAAATAAGAAAAAGTTTTGGGTTAGTAGATAATATTATTTTATTGAAGAATGTGTGATTGAAAAAAAGAGAAAAATATATTTTAAAAAAAATGGATCTCAAACGAGAGCTTAGGTAGAACTCACTTTACGTAATGTGGTTTTAACAATTGGTATTAGAGTATCCACCCTTTGGGACAACGGGTTCTGTACACGAGTTGCTAAGTTTTGAGGTTTTTGAAATTTTATTCTTAAAGTGAAGTAGATGAAGCAACAAAAAGAATTGTGAATTTTTCCTGTTGGGGGATCAGAATGTTTTTCCTTGGATATGGAAAATTTCGTCGACCAGATTTTATCAAAATCTTTAGAATCTGCTCAAAAGTTTTGTTGAACAACCCATAACATCAATAAACTTTATATTCTACCTCGCTAAATATCCTTCATCATCAAACCAATAACTATATAAATAACTAAAAAATTGTATTGAAAGTAGTCACATCACATAAAAATAAATAAAAGAATAAGTAAATCAACAGCACCAGAGTTTATTGAATCCAGTTTTCCACAATTAACACCTAATTAATTAAGCAGGGACACTGTATTTCGAGTATCCACGGTAAGAATTGCTTCTGAGCGCACAGCATCCAATGGAGTAGACAATAATAACAATAACTAGGATAATAGAATTGATGATGGCTATAATTCTCCAATCTTTCTTAATATTATCAAGTACTGCTATTTTGCAAGACTCGCAGTCGAAACAGAGTTCTTTCTGGACGTTGCTCCATATCTTGCAATCTTGATCGAACACAGCTGGGCCAGTCTTCGGCGCTATCCAATAGGTTGCATTCTTGGACTGGAAGCCACAGTAAGCCGGTGGCTTGCAGCAACCCGACTGCATGCAAGAAATTGGTGAAAGATGATCTCACTCACACACACACACTTCCAACACATAAATAACATGCTTATCGAAACAAAAACTACAACACATTTTAAGTTTTATTCTCAATAAACTCTCGACTCCGCCAATGTTATCATAACTGATCTCTATCGCGAGTAATAGAAAAGAGTTGAAGGTATTTGACATTCGGTAGAATTTTGTAAAATCTTATAATAAGAATCTTAAAATCGAGATGCAATATTCATTTAGTTTAAGAAACTCGTGAAATCAAGTAGAAGTTTAAGAAAGGCGATTAATTAGTTTCCTTTCACAACATAATTAATTAAAACACAATTAGAAGTAATTGTCATTGATTGTATAATCCTACTTAGGAAAGAAATCCAAGAATATCATTGAGATATTGATTAATTAGAGTTTGAAAATATGGTTGGATAACCAAGTTTTAAGATCTTTCAAAAAATAATAGAAAATCCAAATATCCTCTACCAATACTCTATGTGTTTATCCTTCACATGATAGTAAATAAATAAACAAATTATAAGCAAAACATAATCTGCTTTTTAGTTTTCAATCCATATTTCTGCAAGCAATTATTTATGTGCAGTGCATGCATGTGAAATCTACAGTAGTGACATTAATTTTAAATTCTTGCGTAACATAATACTATGCACGATGAGATAGAAAAAAAAAAACAGACACAATACATATATGATACGATGATACAGAAACAAAGACAAAAGTGATTATGAACAAAATCGAAATACATATGATACCAAGAGATAATGACAACAGGGGACACAGATTATGAATGAAATGGACACATTTTATGGACAAAATCAGAAAACATACTCTATGATGAGATAGAAACAAAGAAATAGACGAATTAATACCTGAATTAGAGACAGGTTATGTACGTAAAACTCCTTGCCCTTCTTCTCCATTAAATGCTGACACAAATCCACATCAACCAAACAATTCTTGACTTCACCCCAGTTTTCTGAATTAATCACATAATTCTGCAACCAACGCGAATAATCTCCCAGTCTGTGTTCTCCAAACCCTTTTCCGGACAGTGCTTTTCCAACGTTTTTATTCGTGACAAAAACTGTAAAAATTGTAAAAGCCGCCAATCCGACAATAAGCAAGAACAAAACCAGAAGATAAATCCACATGAAAAATGAAAGTCTGCAGCAGGATCCCAATAAGCCTAGTAATGAAACGATTAAAAGAGCTAAACCCAGAAATAATAGAGGCTTTCGGAGAGTTTCCTGACATGGGGCGTTAGACTGTGTTCCCAACCAAAATGAAAACCCAATGGCCGCTACAGAAATTACGAATGTAAGAATGTTTAACAGTGTTATGATTCCATTGCTGATACGAACCATTTTCCTTGGTTCTTTCTGTCAATTTTCGCTTTTGAAATGGAAAATGATCAGATCAAATTAGATCACTAGAGAGAAAAGGCAAAACCCTGGGATCTGGTGATGATTTTCTTGAGTTTTTTTCTCGTCTTTTGAGTGCGTAAATATGCGGAGTGGGGGATGAGGTGGGGGTGGAGGAAAAGATGGGGTGTATCTATGGAGGAATTCTTGTAACGGTGAAAAACGGTTTTTGTATGGGAATTTGAATTAAGATAATTTCTGTGTAGGTCCCCAATGTTTAACATATGTAAAATAAGTCCTTTACTTTCATATCTTGACAGGTCCATCCTCAATCTTCAAATCATAATTTTCATTGTCCGTATATTTTACCCTCACAAGTCACAAATAGTGGTCACATGTCAATTTAATGTCCATTTAGATGGAGTCTTTAAGGACTCTCTGCACCATGAACAAAAAGTTGAGTATGGTGCTTTTCAAGATTTCAAGGTTTCGGATCTATTTGCATATATCACAAAAGTTAGGGACCTAGTTACAGTTTTCTCATTGCAAATTGCGATTCCTATTTTTGAGCCCACTATTGACAAAATCTACTGAACTACCATGATTGATGGGAGTTTGAGGAGTGGTAAGTTGGGTAATTTGAATTGGATTTAATTACAAAAGCTGAGGTGTACAATTAAGAGTTTAACACACATTAAATAGTTATTAAGAAAAGAAGTGTCCAACATTAACTGTTCTGTAGGCAATTAATTTGCCAGTTTCATTAATGATAAATTCATTATAAAATTGTTAAAATAAAATAAAATTTGAAATTATAGTTTATAGAATATATAAGTAGGAACGATCGTGTTACATTTACATGATGTCATAAGATATAATCGAGTCAAAAAAATTTCAATCAAATAAGAAAAAATTCTCTCTTTTTGATACATTTGTATATGAATTATTATACAACTCTTTATGTACAAATAGCATTATTCAAATAGGAATAAATATACCAATAAAGTTAGAACACAAGGTTTACAGAAGGGTTATTGATTTAAATGCTTTATAGCATTGCTGGTAGATAATGAAAGTAGATATTTTATCAAATTAAAATGGATAGTACAAAAAAATTTTGAATATATAACAATGAAATATTAAATTGTGAATGTTTCGGCACTTTTTTCCAAAAAAAAAAATTTATTTTTCCTCGAGCTCAATTTTTGCCACACGCCCTCCCAATAAAATAATATTATACTTGGACCTATAATTTTTTATTTTTTCAATTTTTTACCACACATTTTCCAAAAGTAATAATTTTTAACTTCAAATAATCTCTTCCAAACAGAAACTGAATCAAATGACGTATATGTACTACTTAATTGCAATGGACAAGCCACTTATTTCTTGTCGATCAACCACATAGGGGTAAATGGGAGCATCCTCATTATGGGCACTTGCCATGATATGGGGACGTGTATTACTCCCGGCTCACCTTCGGCGGGCATTAACTGCAACGATTTCAAAGGTGAATTTGGTCGATATGTCATTATCAAATCAAAATGTAAAACAAACCAACTTTTTCTACGAAGAAAAAAGAAAAGAAAGGGTTAGATATATAATAATAACTTTAAAAGTTAAAAGTAAATTTTATTTTTTTATAAAAATAATTTATTAATTGAAATATTATATATTCTCAAATTTTCTCTTCTTTAAACAAATAAACCAAAGATATAATAATCCCAACCTTTAATTTAAGCTAATCTAACTGTCTAAATCTATTAAAGCTTAAATTGGTGTTTGGATGTATAAAGATTTTAAAAACATAGATAAATCTACACCATTAGATTAGCTTAAATTAAAAACTACAATTATTTGCTATATCCATTGATAAGAAAGCTTATATTTGAGACTTCGTACTTCATTTTGAGAATTTTCAAAATTCGATTGATTTAGTGCAATCAGTTCATCAGTTTTCAACAAAAAGGGACCAATTTTTTCATTGATAAGAAGAGTTAGTTCCTTGTCATTTTTCATCTATGATGCTTGGTGAAAACTGTGCAAATTGGAATTTACTCCTCCATCCAATTTTAGCTTATGCGCAGTATCAAAGCACGAACAGAATTGTTTCCATTTCAAAAGAATGGTTACACATTATGATTGCACAATCAACTTTCAATCACAAAAACTGTTCGAATCTTCAAGTCATCACATAGCTCTCCAGAAATTATTCCTCACACAATTTTGAACACTGGTCCGAATTGGAAAACAAAACCTGACTTATTAAAAAAAAAGGGCATATGAAGGTCACGTCACGAATTAAAAGTATTAATGCTTGGCCTTCCCAGATAATTTCCATAGTTGAGCTAGCTTGTGCAACTACAATAAAGACTGATGACCAGCTTGCTCATTTTATGAAGCTTGATGACAAATTTGCTACTCAAGCAATAGGTTGGAGACTAAAGGCCGATTATTCCTTAACTTTATACTAGTTAAAAAAAAGAAAAAAAGGAAAAAAAAAAGAAACTGATTATTAGAAGGTTCTTTGTTTCTTCAGTAACGTAGGTAAATATGAAAAAGCACCTTCAGGAGCGTTGACGAACAAAATTTAATTTTAGATAGGGAGAAAATTATATTTTCCTTCAAGGAGAAAAATTCAAAAACAATTAGGCAGGTATAGGATTCTTACATCAAGAAACATGTAAAACAGCATACCTATGCAGTAGAAAGATTTCTAATGTCTATATCTCATCCAGAAACTGTTGAAGATCGTCCAGTTTTCCATTAAACAGGCCTACAAAATTCAAGTCAGCATTTAGTATTCTTCAAAATCATTCAACATTAACACAGAACCTGGCAACTTGCCATAATAATTACCCTTGCCTAGATTCATTTGAAACATGTCTTCTTGTGGTATACGCAACCTTTTTGCTCTGATGCTTTGAATTTCATCCATACTTCTCCTATTCAGCTTCTCCAATTTAGAACGGAATTCCAACGCAGTAGTAGCTAACTCTGTTGAAAGAAGAATCTACTTAAAAGTTTGAGATTTGATATAATATTAACCCAAGTGTGAACTGATTAAAGAAGTCAGAAAATCTTGCAAATTAGACCTCAGATATTCAAGCTATTCTCAAAAGGACAATGCTATTTGTACACTCTATTTGAACATCATTGTTGACATTACAAGTGTTGTCAACAATTAATTGGGTGAAAAACTGTCCAAATTTTAAACTGTTTAATGGTGCACTGCCACATGACAAAGTTTAAATCCCTCTATAAGAGTAATTTTGGGAAGAAAATCATTTTTTATGTCAATTCATGGGCCCCACACATATTAAAGATAAAGCTACGGTGCCATTTTTCTATTTACGGTAAATGACTTACAATATATTCTAAAAGTCCATAATGCCCATTTATGCAACTGAGAGAGGCAATGAATTCACAGCATTGTCGGCAATTGTTCTAGACAACGACCGATGGGTACAGTACTTTTCTAAAAGGAGTTAGATTACATGAATAAACAAATGATATTTTATTGTGCTAAAAGTCATATTTTTCCTTTTAATTCTAGTTTAATCAGTCCCAAACAAGCGCTAAAAGATGGTGTACACCATGATATATACCAAACATAATTGTCCTCAAAAGGACAATGTCATTTGTACATTCCTTTTTGTACATTATTGTTGACATTACAAGTGTTATCAACAATTGATTGGATAAAAAAATGTCCAAATTTTAACCTATTCAATAGTGTATTGTCACGTGACAAAGTGTAAAAGATAGTGTATATTAGATGGTGATTGATTATATAGCTTTCCTTGTGTAGGCATGATTTATAGATTTCCTACTATATCTCCCAATTGCAATTTTATGTCCTCGTATATTCATATAAACGTATATAAATAAAAGACAAAAAGGAGAAAGAGATTACGTAGCCTAAATACTGTTATAGTATCAAAGCCTTAGAAATTTTCAAACTTTTGGTCTTCTCATATGCTTCCAAACCCCATCTGTGGTCGAAGGGTTATTCATCGTGGTCGACAATTGTAATCAGCCTTCTGTTCGTCAAAGTGGGAACTTTCAATTGATGTCTATCGCTTCTTTTCACTACCGGTTTGACTGCTCTTGGTGTTGTCACGTTACTTTGTGCCGTTTGAGGTTGAACTCAATAGTTCCGACATCTCTGGAGTTAGGTCTTAGTTGCAGTAGGTTATTTCTGGCAACCATGCTACATATACACTATCATTTACACTCTTTCACATGACAATATCTACACTCTTGATTTTAAACTCATCCATCACATCACTGCATGGATTTCCTCCACATAGGAAAGAATGTCATCCGAAGTGGTAAGGCAGGATGTACATATAGCATTATTCTATTTCTGGTGTCATCTATGGGATTAGAGTATTTTTGGTGTTTTGCATCTTCATTTTTTGGATATCACGGGTGACACTCTTTCGTAATTCAGACCGAAGTTTAAATTGTGGTTTTGGATTGAAGTTTGGGCTGTGTTTGTATTCGATTTACTGAAAAGAATTACTTTTCATGGGCTTTTCACTTTCAATCATTAATTGAAGTCAAAGGTGATTGGTGGGAACATATTGATGGAAATCTCCCACCTCCTAATCAAGAGAAGGATAAGGAAAGGTATCTTGCGTGGAAAAACAAGAATTCTCGAATTATGACCTGAATCATTGGATTGGTTGATGCACAGATTATTCTTAATCTCAGGTCTTACAAGTCAGCCCGTGCTATGTGGGAGTTCTTGAAGAAGATCTATACTTAAAGCAACAATACTCAACGACTTCAATTGGAATTTAAATTAGCAAATCTTTCTCAAATTCCCGTTCTATTGAAGAATATTATACAAGTTTTTCTGATCTTTAGGTTAAGTACACAGATATCACCTATGCCTCGATTTCACCTAACAATTTGCAAGCTATCCAAATTGTACACAAAGTCACAAAAAGGGATCAATTTCTTATGAAATCGTTAGCTGAATTTGAACCCATTAGGTCTAGCCTTATGAATTGCAAGTCCATTCCAATACTGAATGGTTTTTTAGGAGAATTAATGATGGAGGAACGTCTTATCACTCGTACCTCTTTGGAACAACAACAAAATCATGTAACAGCAGTTCCTATTACATATGTGGCTCAATGGAGATTCAAGCCTTGGGATATGTCTAATGTGCAGTATCATAATTGTATAAGGGTTCGATCACATGGCTTTTCAGTTCCCAAAAAAATTTGTAATTATTACAATAAGCCTGATCATTTTATTAAGGAGTGCCCCACTCGTCCTTCACGTAAGATTGGAGCAAGTTATGTTGCTACTGCCACTTTCACCTCTAGTTCTGCTCCACCACTTGTTTCGGTTCAAGTTCAAGCCTCTCCCAATTCTTTTCAAACTCCCATCACGCTTGAGATGATTCAACAAATGGTTATCTCTGCATTGTCCGCTTTAGGTGCCTTAGGTAATCTATCAACTACTCATTCTTTTTAATTATTGAACTTAGGTGCTTCTAATCATATAACTCACGGTCTTTTATGTTTAGTAACGTTAGAGCATATGCTGGACCACTCAATATACCTACTGCCGATGATAACAATCTTCCTATCTCAACCATAGGAATATATCACCAGATTTGTGTAACGTTTTAGTCTCTTCTGATTTATCAACTAATCTTACATTTGTTAGACAACTTGTTGATAATAATTGTATTGTATCCTTTTCTTCTTTTGGTTGTCATGTGCAAAGACCGAGTGCCTAAAAGGATGATTGTAAAGGGGACCTAAGGAGAGACGTCTCTTTCCTATATCACCAACGCCTATTTCGCCTTTTTCTTTTATTTGTAATTCTGCCACTTTAGATACCTTTGATTGGTATAAAAAATTGAGACATCCCAATTCTAAAGTGTTAGAACATTTGTTAAACTCTAGCTTACTTTGTAATAAAAATGGTGCTTCAATTTCATCTCTCTTGATTGTGCTTCATTTAAACTTCTTAAAAGTAAAGTTTTACGTTCCCATCACATGGTTCTCGTACCTTGCATATTTTCGATATTGTTCATAGTGATGTATGAGATTTTACACCCGTGATTTCTCATGCTCATTATAAATACATTATTACTTTTATCAATGATTATAGTCGCTTCACAAAGGTTTATTTTCTTCATACAAAGAGTGAGGTCTCATCTACTTTTCTAACTTTCCTTGCTCTCATTGACAATCAATTTTCCTCCTCGATCAAAGCCTTAAGATCTGATTCAAAAAGTAAATATATATCTAGTACCTTTCAATCTTTGTTACAAACAAAATGTATTATTTCTCAACGATCTTGCCCTTCGACCTCTCAATAAAACTGGGTGACAAAATACAAGAATTGCCACCTTCTTGATATGGTTCGAGCTCTTCTGATTAAGTCTTCTTTTTCCTCTTACTTTTGGTGTGAAACATTGTCTATTGTGTATTTCATAAACCGTTTACCTTCTCTCACTCCTTAATAATGCTTCTCCATTTTATAAACTCTGGTCATCATCCCAAATTTCTCATCTCTATCCCTTTGGTTGTGTATTTACTATCACGTGAAATGATGAAACTCACCACCCAACCTGTCAAGTGTGTCTTTCCAGGGTATGGTGGGATTCAAAAAGAGTACGTCTACTATGATCCTAAATCACAACGAATTCAAATTTCTCATAATGTTTTTTTTGGGAAAACAATCTTTCTTCAATTCAGAGCCTATGGTTTCCCTCCTTTGTTCTCTGTCTTGCCTGTTTCTCCATAGAAACAAGCCGAGTTTTGTTTACATTGGCAAGTATGCTATACTTATCACAATCCAAAGCTTCTTTCTTAGACTACTGTCCTTCCAAGCCTCTTCATTCCTCCATCTACAACATCAAATCCTGCCCAAATGATCTATGGCCTCCCGTTCCTCTTCATCACACTTCTCGTGTTCTTCGACCACTTGATAGGTATGATTTTTTTCCCATAGTTCTATGACTGCTACTTTAATTTGGTTTACATTAATTTCTCCTATAGATAGACTATGAAACAAGAGTATTGACAATAGGTGATGAAAGCAGAACTTGAGGCTTTTGAGGCCAACCAAATCTGGGATCTTGTGCTATGTCCACATACTGTAAAACCTATTGAAAGTAAATGGAAATATTCCATCAAACTTTGTTTCAATGGTTCTCTTGAGCACTATAAGGCTCAGTTGCTGTAGATAATCGTCAAGAGTATGAAGTAGATTATGATAAGACTTTTGCTCATGACCATTGTTCGCCTCTTATTATTGCTTGTTGCTTTCCATTCAAGGTCTTTACATCAAATGGATGTGAATAACGCGTTCTAATATGGAGACCGCAAGGAAGACATTTATATGAAGCTTCTATCTAGTATGTCTCTTCCCTAAGCTAATTCTGTATGTAAGCTAATACGCTCTTTGTATAGTCTTAAACAAGCCCATCGAGCATGGTTTGACAAGTTTTGTAACACTCTTTTGGATTTTTCCTTTACTCAAATTCAACATGATGCATTTTTATTCCTTCACAAGAATATTGCTAGCATCGTTTGTTTGTTGATATATGTAGATGATATTATTATCTCGTGATTGATTATTGATTTTATAGGTTTCCTTGTATACGCATGGTTTATAGCTTTCTTTCTATACCTCCCAATTGTAATTTTGTTCATATATTCATACAAACATATATTGCTAAAAGACGAAAGGAAGGAAGAGATTATTTAGCCAAAATTTTGTCAATGTACACTAAGCATGAATGTTCTCAAAAGGACAATGTCATTTGTACATCATTGTTGCGTTACAAGTGTTGTCAACAATTGATTGGCGAAAAAACTGTCTAAATTCTAAAAACTCTTCAATGGTGTATTGCCACGTAATAGAGTTTAAAAGATGGTATACAACATGATGCACACCAAGCATGATTGATCTCAAAAGAACAATGTCATTTGTACACTCTTTTTTGTATATCACTATTGACATTACAAGTGTTGTCAATAATTGATTTGGTGAAAAAACTGTCCAAATTTTAATCTGTTCAATGATATATTGCCACGTGACAATGTCTAAAAGATGGTGTACACCATGATGTATACCAAGTATGATTGTTCTCAAAAGGACAATGCCATTTGTTCAAATCCTTTTTGTACGTCATTGTTGACATTGTATACACCAAGCATGATTGTTCTCAAAATAAAATTCGCAGCAATAAGTAGTATAAACTGAGGATTCCAAAATGGTAAACCTAATACAATGTCAGGCCAAATAAACAGGACTAGAAACCACACCCAGATCAGGAAAACTGTAATAAATTTGAAACGTTATGGAAATGAATTCAGTAACTGGGTCAAATTGATTTTGACCTGGAGGTTATACTTGAGCTTATTATATTTAGACAACATTTTGAAGGTCAATGTTAATAAGAGAGAAATAAGGAGTTCACAGCACATAATAAGCAGGAGAACTTAAATCAATTGATAAGATTCTATCTATGTTCCTTCTTAGGCTTGTGAAAGGTAAATAAACTGCAAAGAAATTAAAGTTTTTAATAGTTCTAAAGCAATAGATCTTGTTCCACAACAATGGCATTTTTTTATTCAATGTGCATACAACAAGGTTGTGATCCATATCAATTGGCACATTGACAATGTATTGGCATATAAAAATTAGGTAGCATGGGAATGAGAATAGTAGGAGTAAAATGGAGACCTATTATTATTTATGAATTATGAGAATACAGAAAAGAAAAACCAAGATCACCCCAATTTCATATTTAGATTGATAAATACAATCCATCACTTCCATGAAGGCATCATGAACAGTTTGGTGAGCTAAGTTCTTTGAGCAGTATGAAAGAATTATATAACTGTTGACCATGTCCCCATGAAGTAACAAGAAGTTAAGCATTATTTCATAAACTTCAGGAAGGTCGCTAGAATCCTTTTCCACGATTCTTTTGAATACATAATAACCTCTTCCCAAATATTTAAGACCCCTTTTAAAGTAACAAGAAATTTTGGTTTGAGAGACGTAAAGAAGACTTACAGGTTCATTTCCAACTCCCAACTTATCAGAAAAGGAATTTTAGTTACCTTGTAAAGTTTTGGTGGTAGCTTGTTTCTCATATAACTGTAATGCTTCTTTAACAGATCCAGCACACTGATTGCTTGATAAAGACTGTTTTTCCAATGCAAGAAGTTCTTTGCGAAGGTCATTAGATTCTTTTCCAACCTGTTTTAGTAATTTAAGCTTCATAAGAAAAACTAAGAAAATAAATCACACAAGTTGTTATAGTCTGAAGAATCTTATTTACCAAAGTAAGCTTGTCTCGCAAAGAATTCAACTGTGCATCCAGCTCGGTATCCGCAAGAGTATCGAGATCTGACAAATCATCAGCCGATGATGGATTCTAGAAAGACATGTTCAAAGGCATTTTGAGATCCAAATTCGGTGAGTAGGGCTGGGGGTGGGATGGCGTGGGTGGAGGGGTCTGGCTTACAGAAGATGGAAGTACTGTGTTTTTCTAGCATCAAGATGTTCTTTTAATAGATGGCATACCCATTGTGTCTCTTGTTGACACTCCTAAAAATATCATATGAGCTACTTTTCCAGCAATCAGGTCACTTTTTTAGTATTGACAATCTTCAAATTTATAAAAAGGCAGGGAATACCTCAAAAAGTGGTATATTGTTTGTAAAATCATTTCAATGAGCTATTTGACTAAGATGCATATTTGTTAAACTGATACAATCACACTTAAAGAAAAGCAAACTCAAAGACTGCATGCAAAAGAATGCAACTTCAGAATGTGGAATGTCTACACTTCCAGCCAACTCAGGAACTTCTATAAATGCTATTTGGCTTGTTCAAGATCCCTAGTTTAATTATTAATTCGGCTATAGGGAACCCCACTCTGATAGCTTATTTATACTCTGATAACTTATTTATACTCTGATAACTTATTTATATGACTAGATTTAGGATGAGATGAACAAAAGGAAGACTTTTCGAAGAGATGGTGCGACAACCTACTGTCCTTTTACATTTTTGGTGTTTTAATAATTTGGTCGAGTCAACGGGTGCTTCAGAGTTGCAAATTCTGGAAAGGTTTATAAGGTACTGAGAAAATATGAGCATATAATCCCCATTGATTTATAGTAGCATAATAATTTATCAATAGTTTGAAATCTCTATCTAGAGTTTTGTTATGTCACCGGGACATATTAGAAGGGTAGGTTACTTTAATTAGTTATATGCATCTAACGTAAAGTCTTAAAGTAACCGATTTATCAGAGTTGATAACTAGAAGTGCACTATACACAAATTAATATAAATCCAATTAGTACAGCTGCTACAGCATAAGTGTGTTGCTCATCAACTTGAAGAAACCTTAACTTTTCTTCCTTCATCAAGATTGTGTCAATTCCTAAACTAGCCTTTTGCCACGAAAATAACACTTGTAAGTCTGCTATTTGGCTACGCTAAGGTTGGTGCTGCATTAATATAGATTCTAATAGTTATACAATTTTGCTCAAAATAAATTAAAATGCCAATACTAATGCTTCAGGCTGGATGTTACCTGACATTGCAGTAGTAAAATGTAAAATGGGTGAGAAAAATAGCACCCATAAGCCTGGCCAGCCATTTAAACTTTGATCATTCTAAGCATCATGCCATTTTAAAATATATAACAAATAAGAAACATCCACAATGAAATAGAAAAATATTATGTTTGGTATGAGGGAAAGTTTCAGAGGTGGAGGAAAGGAAAAATGGATTTGCCTTTCCCAAGTTTGATTAGAGGGAAAATGGGGAAGCATTATAATGGTGACATGAGTGAAATTCTAACCACGTGTTGATTTAAAAATACTTGAAATGCTGCATCATCGTATCTATTTTCCTATCACACCAAACAAGGGAATGCATTTAGTTTCTTGGCACAATGGATCCAGAGACTTTCAATCCACATTTGTTCCCACCCAATTGCTTCACTCAAAGATGGCCTGAGTTGTATGTCAGAAATGCATATAGTTATTACGCATGATTTGCTACTTCCCAAACTATCAAGCTGGTCACAACTCCAGAAGAATCTGAATTATCCCTATTAATTGATTACTACTAAGGAACATATTAAATATTCAGGAGAACAATACGCTTCAGATAATTCAGACAAATGATCAAAGGGATTAACTAAAAAAGCAACCACCAGTAAACATACGGCTTTTGTTAGAGAAAATCCTTCAGGGACATGAAAACAAAATCGAAGAGAGTATTCTTCCCACTTCTTCAACCGGTTGTCCAATGTCAACTGGACCAAATTCCGAATGTATGCCACACCCTATTGACGTAAAACAAAAGAATTTAAAAGAAACGAAAATATAAGTACAAAACAATAATTTGCATAGCAAATAAATTTATTTATTTATTTTTTATGACCGTGTTTAGGTCAGCTCATGAGCACCTTGACTAATACCACGGAGTCCTGAAATTTACTATCGGATACTCATCTCAGTGGTCCTAAAAAAACTCGAACTGGTGACCATGAGAAGAAAACCCAAGGTCTGACCACTATGCTAAGCTACCCCTCTGGATTGCAAATAAATTATGGAATTAATTGTTCCAATGGTCAACTTAGGTTCATGTTTTCGATTGCTTATTAAAATTTAAAATGTCAAGTTTTGACTACTGAACTTTGGAATATTCCGTACCTTACTCATTAGTATAACTGTTAAATTTTGAAAAATATCAAGTTTAAAGTAAATAATGTACAATATCTTTCAAAGTTAAGTGACGACAAACAACAAAAAATGTAATGAAAATCTCATAAATTATGGTGAAAAAGGAAAATAAAACTTAAAAAGATACCCGGCTTAAATCCGCAGATCGATCAGTGCCCTCAGTTTTCATTTGAGCAGAAGCCTCCCTGTAACGACAGATGATATTGCCAAAATTCTAATCAAATAATTACAGGCTTCTGTGTGCGCGTTCTGTGAATGGATTCACTTTCTTAAATACAAAAACAGCAATATAGAACCTCAAGATTCATGTGGTATGAGGGCTCAAAAAGCTTGAACAATCAATTCCATTTAAATCTTAAAACAAACAGTCCATTCCCAGATTAGTTTTCGCACTTACTCAAGGAAGTAATTGAACGCCTCGTCGGTGAGATCATCAACAAAATTAAGAACCTCATTGATGAAGAGCTGGGGGTTCAAGTTCAACGATTCGAATATCGCGTTGCTTTCGCTAACTTCCATTTTTGAGCAACTTTTCAATTCTCGAATTCACTGTGAGTCCCTGTGTACACGTGAGATAGGAAGTGCGAGAATTTAAACTATAAATCTTCTCTCCTTGTTCTAGATTTCCCGCCAGAAAGGTTTGGCTATGGAGAAAATGAAAATTTGAAATGGTACGATTAGGGGTTTTGACTATGGAGAAAATGGAGCATATTGAAAGCATGTTTGTTTCTCATTTTGATAGTAAAAATGTATTTTGTAATAGTAATTGTTGAAAAATATGTGATTGAAAAATAAGGAAAAATTTTAGTTTTGCGTGTAATATTATTTTATTGAAGAGTGTATTGTTAAAAATAAGAGAGAAAAATGTATTTTGGTAAAAATGGGTACCAAACAAGGGCTGAATAAAAATAAGGATTATTCTACTTGCATTATGGACACAGTTACGATTATAGAGTTTGTTTGGAAGTGATATTTAGAATTGATTTTTTGACCGTTAGGAAAAAAGTGGGGTTCACTTGTGAGAGATGAAGTCAAATATGACGGCTGGAATGGTGAAATAATAGTAAAAAAATCAAATTTTTTGGTGAAAAAATCGGGTCCAAACAGACTCATAGTGTCCATTATCAAACCCAAGTATTGTCCTAAAATAATACTGGAAATTGCCAAATTGGGTCGAATAGCCTATTTTCTGATACACTTTGTAATTTTTCATAAATTAAAAATAAATACTTTAACTAAAAATTTATAAACTACCTAAAACACCCTCACGTAAAAGACGACAACCAATTTTCCCTTCCTAGTTTGACAAAATCATCTTTTCTTCTCTTCTTCATTACCATAAGGTTAATGAAATGGCCAAATTACAACATTCACAATCGATACACTTCCTTCTTCTTCTCCTCTTCTTCCCCTATAGGATATGTCTGTCATTGTTATCCCAACTTTCTTGCTATCACTACGAGTTTTGACACCCTAGCGAACTGTCGTTTCATAAGAATCATTCATTCATTCCAGTTTCAGGAACCAATAACGTAGTGAGCTAACCTTAGACATGAAGACTTCATCTTTATACCTTTTTATCAGAGAAACTATTTTTAATTTTTGCTCCCCTTTTAGCTGTTTCTTCTCTTTGGGCAACAATGAAGACATGATTTCAACATGATTATTATTGTGGGATTTGATTAATTTCTTTTTACTAGAGTTTACTATGTTTATTTCGAGTATGAACCCTTTTGCTCATACGTGAATCATTTTTTTCCAATCATTACCCAGTTGAAAATTGATGAAGAAATATGAAAATTTAGCTAAAGGTTGCGTCTTACTCGTGGATGTGTTCATCAACTATTGAAAACTAATGATCAATTCTTACATTCTTATTATATTTTTTTTTATTCTTGGCACCATGGTAAAATGTGTAAAAATTTGAGGAATACTGTGTAACCTAATAATTTTGGTTATTAAGCCCTGTTTATTTTTTATACAAGAAAATGCATTATTCAACTGTTGCCAATCAAATCAGCCATAATTTTTTTGACTCTCATACTCACAGGTGGGCCCCAATCAAAGCAAGTAACGGTCCAACGTGAAAAATGAGCCCGAAACAGGGTTAAGTGTTTCATGTAGATCTACTGATTTTGTTTGCAGCTAGAGGAGAGGAAAAAGAAGAAAATATCTAAAACTATTTTTGTTTGTTCAGTGGCAAACACAATTATGTGAATAGATTATGAGAAAAACTAGGAAGGAAATCAATTACACCTCTTCTGTATGCTTCTTGACGTTATTTAGGTGTTTTCATTTTATTTATTTATTTTGGTAAAAACTTTGAATTTAAGTTTTGTAGGAAGATATAATTTTGTATTTCATTTTACATTTTTATTCATCGTTGATTGATAGTTTTAGGTAAATGAATGCGGGATCCAATGGAAAGAAACATGCTGCCTATACTTTCACTGGATAAAGTCATCTGGGACTCATTTTATTTTTATTTTGATGCTGCACACCCATTCTTCAATGCACTTTTTTTTCCGCTAGTGGACTACCTATTCGGGTGTTTATTTGGTGAAGTATTCATATCAGGTTTTTTATAGGCATACTTGAGGAGAGATTTTTTTTTTTTGTCTAATGACTACCGTCTTAGTGCTATAGAATATCAATTAGTTATAGGTTTTCAAGAGGAATATGGAATAATAACAACAAAATTACTCCTCTGTTTGGAATTGAATGATCTTACATCCTTTCTAACAAGATTGAGGGAATATTAACTAGTGAGTTGTGCACTATTATACTTAATTTAGTAGGTCACATTTTTTGTGCAGAGGTAACCAAACTCATTTATTGTTGGATCGTATTTTTTTTATTGGCTAGTGATTTTTGTGTTCCGACCTTTAACATACATACTCTCTGATATTCATGTATCTAATAAGGATTAGGTAAGGTTTTCTCAATGCACACATGAAATGATTTGCTTTCTACATTATTCAATTATTATATGTTGTCAAAGGTGATATTTGGAGTCTCATTTTTCTTTATATTCACTAGTTTTGTAACTGCACTGAGTAGAATGAGAATTGAGTCCAATAGTCCTGAAGAGTTTGGTCAAATGTCATCCTATCGTGTATCTAACTCTGAAAAGTTCGTCTTTATGTTTTAATAAAAGTAACAAAAAATACATTGCACTAAGTATCACTTAGCATTGCTATAGATTTTTTCATTTTTTGATAATCAATTATTTATTTAATATGACTGTTTTATATTTTATTGTGAAATGGAACCCTTGTTTAGGAATGGCAAAAATATCGTCAAACTCGATATTCGTGGGCCCAACCCTGAACGGTACGGGAATTATCTGCTTAATTGGATAATTGTATTCCGCCCCGAGGGGGGTACGAGGTGAGTAAGGGTAACAAGGGGACCGTCATGCCCCCCGCCCCATTTATTTTTTTTATTTTGTAAGGCTTCAATATTTTAAACGGAAAAATTTCGCCAAATTTCATTAATTCTAATAGAACATGGCAATTGAGATTATCTAATGAGTATGATAAACAATAAAAACATTAGTCTATTAAATATATTCGAATAATTTAATTTTCAAAAATAAATAAATTAATTAAATTTTTTAATAATTATATTATTGTCTCACTTGAATAAATGAGGGCATTAAAATGAATTAAAAAATTAAATGGGTATGTAAACGAGGTCGCATTGCCTTGCCCTACCCCACCACACCTTGCCTGAAATGGGTAACGGGCGGGGAAAATGCCTTGTGGGGGCAAGGGCAGGGAAAGCCTGCACAGTCTCGTCCCGTTGCTAACCCTACCCTTGTCTAAGTACGCAATTCCTGCTGAAGATAGAATTAAAAGCAAATCTTCGATGAAGTGTTCCCTTTATAAGTTTTATTATATTGGAAAGAAGTTAAGTGATATTCATCGAAAAATGTTAATGCAATCTTATTTCGCATACTTATATAGAATGAACCGTAAAACATTCTCAGTCCAGCTAGTCCATCAATTTGCAATGAGGATGATCATGATCGAAAAAGAAAATGAGATATTATGATGCTTTTGTCTAGTCGGTAGTGTAAATATTTTGGAACTTTTTCTTGAAAATTTATGTTACGGAACTTTTTCTGATTGATTTGTTTGCTTTGAAAGCAGCACTTTAGCGATTCCAAGTTCTTTACTAACTCGGTGTCGATCTCTAAACGCAAATTGTATGGATGCTTTCTTTAAGGGAATGCATAGAGATTATGGGTTACAAATAATTGGCATTTAGGATTTATGTTTTGAAATTGGCATCTACGGTATGTACTTCAATTTACGTTGATATATTTTGATGAGTTAAAATTTTCATTTGGTTGGTTTAAGCTCCTAATGAATGTATTTAACTCGCTGAATGAAATTTGTGAAATGGACACAATTAATGGAAATGAATTTGTCCCATTTTGGTCATGGGATATCGATATCACTCCAACTATATTAAAAACTTATCTTTGTTTTTCTTTTAATGTGGATACGAGTGAATCTAAAGTGAAACTAACAAGAAATTAGTTAAAGCGACATCATGTCATTTTAGGTCACGGTATCTTAATTTCACTCTAAAACTAGTTGATCATATTTTTGAACATCTTAAAAGACTTATATAAGTTAAAAGAGTTAATTTGTTGATTATCTTATCTTATAATTAAAATATATTGAAATTTGGATTGCTTACCTTTGTTTCTAGTGAAGCCTAATGTAGTTTACTCACAAAACTATAGTGTTGATCACTATTGGGTGAACTTTTGTATCGAACTGGGTATCCAAATGTGGTAAAAATTTGCATTCGATCATTTTTATGTGGATATAAATGAACATAATGTGAAATCAATATAGATGTAGTTAAAATGGAATATAGCCATTTAAAACGCCAGCATGCCATTTTGGGTCACGTGGTCTTTATTTTACTCCAAAACTGATTGATCATAACGTGAAACATCTTAGAAGACTTATACAAGTTACACGAACCAATTTATTAAGTATCTTATCTCATAATCGTAGTATAATGGAATTCGAGTTACTTGCCTTCTTTCATAGTGAAGTCTAGTGCGTTTTATTCACGTAAAAATAGTGTTGATCACTATCATGTGAACTTTATATTTAATGTGGAGTCCAAACATAATGAAAATTTGTCTTCTTCATTTTTATGTGGATATGAGTGAAAGTAAATTGAAACGAACACAAAATTAGTTGAAACGATACGTGATCATTTAAAAATATAAGCATGTCGTTTGGATCACAAGGTCTTAATTTCACTCCAAATCTAGTTTATTATAAATCTGAACATTTTTAGAAGACTTATATTAGTTAAATGAGCTAATTTGTTGATTATTTTGTCTTATAATTGGAATATAATAAATTTTGGATTATTTATTTTTGTGCATAGTGAAGTTTAGTGTAGGTTACTCATGAAACAATAATGTTGATCATTTGACCTGAACTTTGTATCAACATAAGTGTCTAAATGTAATGAAAACTTGAATTCGTTCATTTTGATATAAAAAATGGTATTGGGCATTATCGCATATACTTTTTATTGAGTATGTTGTCCAAGTAGCGAAAACTTGCGTTCATTCATTTTCATGTAGACACGAGTAAACCTAAAATAAAACAAACACAAAAATAATTGAAATGGCACACAGCCGTTTAAAATGACATCATGCCATTTTAGGTAACGGGAT